CCTGGGCTGTTTCAGGCTGACCTCAACACACCAAGTGCAGCTGTGTACCTGTGATACTAATCAGGAGGCTAGGGAAGGAGGGTCATGACACAAGACTATCAGAAATACCTATCTCTGTTACACTCCCTTTTCCTCTCCCTCTTAGAGGAAATATCTTTCCAAATTTTGTCTGAGAGCATTGGTGATATAGCTCATATAATGGCTCATCCTGTGGACCCAGCCACTTGGAAGGGATTATACATTAAACATAAAAAGAGAATTCAGTAGGACCAGCAGTTAACGTAATGGTTATGTCATGGAACTCCCATGTAGTAGACCGCGGTTCGAGTCCTGGACCCGGTGGCTTAAACTCATGCCAGGTGCGTGTGCATGTGTGCCCAAGATTCTGAAAGGAGAATGGAGGAGAAGGGATTGCAGTGTGGCCATCCCCCGGGGGGTGATTTCTCACTTTCTATCTCTCTCTGTCTTTCTGGAGAGTACACATGCCCAAAAGCAAAAACCCCCCCAAAAAAAAAAAAAAAAAGAAAAGAAAAAAAAAGAATTCAATGATGTACAGAAAGTAGCATACATCTCTTGTATTCAGAATTTAGGGGATCAAATTTTTATTGGGGCCGGCAGGTGGTGTGGTGGTTAAGGATGCCGGACTCCCACATGGCCAACCATGGTTCAAGTCCTGGACCTGGAAGCTTGCTCTCTCATGTTCCCACTCTCTCCTTCTCTCTTGCTGTCCCTCTCTGGCCAAAATTTAAAAATGAAATAAATGAATGAATAAATAAAAAACAAAATAACTCTTTAAAAAATTTTATTGATAGTCCCATTATTGAGCATTGTTTGTCTTACAGAAATCCTGTTTGGTCTCAGTGGCCTGTGGGACATTTGTGTTGGGAGTTGAGCCCTGTGCTGCCCAGTGCAGTAGCCACTAGACACATGTGATTATTAAAACTCCAAATTTAAAGTAATTAAAACTTAAAATCCAAACCTAGCCTGATGGCACAGTCACTCCTGAACTGCAGGAGGTCTTGTGGTTGACAGCCAGTTCAGTTCTGGGTCAGCCAGAAAACATGTTGGGTCTAAATATGTGTGCCAGGGTCTTGACGAGCTGGAAGGCTGGAGAGATTGTGGTGTGATTGAGGGAGCTTCACTTCCTCCTTCTCATTTTGTGCACCTGCCCTATCATAAAACGTAAAAAAGTTAAATCCTGTTTCTCAGTCACACTAGCCTTCAGTGCTCAACTGCTGCCTGTCGCTAGAGGCGGCCACATTGGGCAGTATGACGTGAACTAGTCCCATTTTATGATATTCTCACTTGGACAGCTTTGCTTTACAACATCAACAGCTGGCCCAGAATAAATTCTAGTAAAACCATAGTAACTAGATGGTATGGTCTAAATGTGTCCCCCACCAAATTCCTATATCGAAACTGAATCACCAATATGATTATATTAAGAGGTGGGTCTGGGCTGGCTCTGTAGCTTGATGGTTAAGGCAGCTGGATCCCACATGGTCGACCACAGGGTCTGAGTACTTGGTGGCTTGGAGACCTGAAACACACTGGGCAAGTAAGCATTTCCAAAATTCCCAAAGGAGGGCAAGATGGAGAAGGGGCTGCAGCTTGATCATTCCCCATAAGGGGTGCTTTCTCCTCTCTCCTCTCTGGTGAGCACATGGAGGAGTCCGACCCGGCGGGGCTCCAGGACCCGTCTGAGCCCTTTGACCTTTGAGCATCGCTTCCGGTCGGTTCAGTGAGCTGGCAAGGCCGCGACTGTACGCCCCCCGACCATGGAACAAGCTTGGGTCACTTAGCATGTTGGCAAGGCCGCCTGCTATTCGCTCCGGGACTGTGATAGCCTTGCTGGGAAGTGAACCCCCTCTGACTCCCCAATATATTACTATTACATAGTTTTCCCATACATATTTGTAGCAAGATTTCCCCAAAATCCCCTGACCGCTCCTCTTTACCCTGACCATTTACTGTTAACTACAACGTTTCACTGGGCACAATAAAGGGTGTGCTAAAGTTCTTCTTGATTGTTGGAAGGCCTTTCAAAACACATTTATATAAACTTAAAAATTACCTCTTAAGCAGAAACTGACCCAGGACACTCCTGCCTCACTGTAGCTAATGTTCTGACAAA